CAAACAGTGGGGCCTAGAATAGCAACGGGGTGGGGGGGTGATGGTACTTTAGACCACTTCATCCACAGTCTTTCCAGAGTGTGGCATATACTAATGAGGATTCTATCAATAGAATATACATTTATCTTAACTGTAGTCCATGCTTCCTGGCCAGCACTGCAAGTGGGCAAAACTGTGACACAGATAGCACTTTTTTAGTTTTTTTCTCTTACTTTTAAACTAATAGTCATCTGACACCCCCAATCATTTTTCTAATATTATAACTTTTCAAAGGAAGTTAGAGGGCAAATCTTGGTTCCTCATGGCAGCTCGGAAGCATCTCATTAAAAAGCATGGCATTTATTCAACAATTTAGAGTATTTCTAGTCCGGTGGGTGGTGCTCTGTATTTATGAGATAGTTGAAAGCACCTATCACTCCCAAAGAAGTGAGGTGAAAACCAGGCTTTGTGGGTGAGTAGACTGTAAGTAGCCAATTGCAGGCTGTGAACTTTTTTTTTAATTAAAAAATACCAGAAAAATTAATAAGAAATTTATTTAAAAAATCAAAACTAGAATAATAACATTTACTGATTGGTGGCTGGGCTAACTCTTACAAGGTAAAAAATTCGTTATGTCTCTCTTTAATTCTCTAGCGGAGCATTACTTTCCCGAGCCACAACATAGATTCCCCTGAAACTGTTGTATGCTTTCAGCGTAGACACAAGCTGAGAATTTAGGGTACCTTGACATTAATATTTGTTTGTAAGAGCACTGACATTCCTTCAGCAGAGTCTTCGATCAGGGATTCACAAAAGCCACCTTCCGTCTTGCACCATTTCAAAAGCAGGTGTGACACCTGCTATTTCTAGCTTTACCATAATTTACTAATATCTGCTGAAACCTTCTGCTCGTATTTCTGCTTGTATTTTTCTAGAGTGAACAACCCAGTGCTTAGGTCACAGTAAAGCACACAATAACCTCCTTTTTATGGATAAACTTAATTTTTTTTTTCAAAAAAAATAAAGTAAAGGAAAAGTATATGTCAGCTAGAACTAAGAAGTTCGATTTTAATGTATATCATTTTATATGTATGTGTGCATATTTTAACATGAAAATTCAGAATATGCTGGGCATGATGTCTTTATAGAAGATACGAGTACATAGTTGTGCACAGTCAAGTGTGTATGGCGGTTAAATCCTAGAGGCAGAACAATTGAAATCCAAAATAAAGTATTTTATTACTTTACTCGCCTAAAAGAAGTGAAGACACCCCCAAGAGTTTAGAGACGAGGGGTAGAACTTAGAGCCTGGAGACTTTCAGTTCAGAGTTTAAAGTGACAAGCGTCCAGGGCAGAAGGCAAGAGCGACATTTCTCTGGAAGAACATTGTGTGAGCTGGTTTCCCCCCGTCCTGCTGTCCCTGCACCCACACTGCGTCTTGTTCTGACTGTTGACCCTGTGTCACGTGAGGACTATGTCTCGAGCCTCTGTGGGTCTCCTCCTGTAATTCTCCTGGTTGCCCCGGAGACTTGGTGGTCAGCCTACCTCATGGCGCCAACATGGAAATGGGGCTTGGGAACATTAAAAAAATGAAGGTCCTCTAGCTAGTAAGTAAGGGAATGGAGCCAAGATGAGAAGAGCATTTTTTTTTTAATCTCTAGAGCAAGAGCAAGGCTGCCCTAAAGACCCCTGAGGTTGATGCTGAACCTGAGGTCTCCCTGGCAGAGGCCGTGGGATAGATGGAGAGGGCGCAGGTCACGCAGAAAAGCGGGCAGGGCAGCTGTGGGCCGGCTTTTGTTGTTCATCGCTCATTCTGGTGATTTTTTCGGTGTTTTTCCACTTACCGCTGGGACTCTCTTCCAGTGCTAGCAGCGACGATCAACGCAGTCACGCATTTTGAAATGTAGCCGCAAACTCCTAGATTAAATATTCTCTGAGGTTTGTAACTTCCCCAAACTTCATTATTTTAAGCTGGTTACAGTTTTGATGGAGTCCCTGGGAACCTGGGATCGAAAGTGCTGACAGCACGACCAGAAGACGCGCTCTCAGTGGTTCCATCAGGTTCCCGAGGGCTGTGAGATTCGATGCGCATTTCCTGTTCATCGCTTCTCTGACGTGAAAAGACTGCTTGTTCTGTTTGGAGCGTGCTCTGCCGTCTCCGCAGGGGAAGCACGCGTGGGCTCTTTCTGAGCTGTGATGTGGGTTACTCGTTTTCCTAGAACAGCAGCACCCGTATTACGTTTCCTTAAATGTTTTCTATAAATGTTTTATTTTGAAGTTGGTGCATTCTTTTTCTTCTCAAAAGTCATTTTGGAAAACTCAGGAAATAGTGTTTTTTTTTTTTAATTTAAATTGCTTAATTGAAGTATGAGGAACGGCAGTTTTTATAGTGCTGTAAAGTGGTTTTCCAGTTCAGGAAAGTTCCTGTATGATAAGCGTGAGTCACATTCCTCTCTTCATATTCCTGAATGAACAGTGAAGAAGAAATGTATTCTGTTGTGATCAGCTTGATGTCATTATGGAAAATAATAAGGCACCGCTGCACTTTACTCCTAATCCTTAAATTGCCTAACTTGATGCGAAACAAAAGCTTTTCTACTAGACTTATCTCGAACGTGTTTCCAGTGAAAGAGATGTGGCTATTGGTTAGATAAGGTGCATTGCTTATGAACCCTCTGGTTTAAACATGCTTTTTGAAAACCGTTCATGTTTTGAACTTTAAGCTATAGAAATACTCCTCCCCAACCCTTCTCCTGGGTGCGCAGATATGGATAAGACATGACTTCTGCATTTGAGAAGCTCTCAGCTGAGTGAAGGAGTCGTGTGTAGGCAGCTGTGTGTCACGGGGTTTCAGGAACCATCCCTGAAGTTGACATGAACTGGGAAGAGAGCACAGGTGGGGGAAGGATTCGCTGAACCTTGTGGCGAGGAGATCAAAGAGAACTCCTACTGTTTCCTGTGTAAAGTCAAATGTGGCCTTCCCAGTGCTGACTCCTGATTCTCATCTCTCGCTGTTTGAAATCCGACATGCTACCTCCTGGGGTTCTTCTCCGAACACAACTTTTGCTCACAATGCATTGCCTTTTGGCTCCAACAGTTGGTATTAGACAAGTAGATAGGTGAGTCATTCTGTAAAGGATAGATGGGTCCGAGGGTCAGGATTTGGGTCTGTGGGCATTGCTTCCGTCCCTGCCCTGGAGCACCAGGATGTAATGTCCTGATTTTTGCAAGGAAATTGCACGTGGTGATGTTTGTGTTTTAAGGGTTCTCAGAGAAGTTGCCGTCAAAGGCCTTCTGAGCAGAGGGCAAGTCTGATGGTGAGAGACTCAAAGAAAGGTAGAAATGGAGGGTGACACGGGAGTCTTCTAGAAGGGCGACCGGGTGAATGGTCTCCTGTTAACTAATGAGGGTGACACAGAAGTTTATTTGGGTGCTGACGTGGAAGCCGATCTCCGTCGTTGGCACGTTAATGTGGGGAGTCTTCAAGAATTTTATTACTTATTTTTTGATTCTTCCCAGTTAGCATTGTTAACCATCTTCAGTGATCAGGTGTCAAGAACACACGTAAGAAACAATTTGTTCTCAATATGCTGGTAGACTTGTGGAGAGAGAGACAAGGCAGTGATGACGAGGCATGTTTGGATGTGCTGTGGTGGAAATAGCCACGGGTTCTGCGGGGAACTTGGGAGGGTTGGCTGCCCACTGCCCTCTGAGGATGGGAGCGGGGAGGAGAGAGGAGTGTGTTAGGAAAGGATGCTTCTGAGCATCCCCCGTGGGGTTCCAGGTTTGTGAAGGTAGGAAGGGGGAAGAGTGGGAAACATTTCAGGCAGAAATATTTGCCTCTGTGTTGAGGCAAATATTATCACTCATGAAGGACTCGGGGACCCGTGGGAGAGGTTGAAGTCTCCAAGGACACCTGGAGGTTTCAGGTCCAGAAAGCTGGGGTGTCAGATACAATGTGGTGATAATGGCCCCAGGATGAAACGTCTGCAGCATTGTCCATCTTCTTTGTAGAAAATCTACAGATAGTTCCAGGAGTCTTTCAAGAAAGAGATGGTCACTTGGGCTCCAGGGTCTGGCCGAGCACTGGCCAAGGTCATGTCCTCTCCTGCCTCCACCCCCGTGCCGGGGAGAGCCGGACACGCCCTGTGGTTCAGCCCCTTTCCCCCCACAGGCACAGACGTTCCCCTCATGGTACTCTAAGGGACCCCACAGTGCCCATGGTGAAAGGCCACCTTGTCTTCCGTGTCCTCTGTCCCACCTCCCCTACTCAGGGTTGTCATGTATCCATTCACTTTCGCTGCACCCCATGCGGACTCAGGTTGTAGGCATCATGCTTCCTCACTCAGCACTTTAAGCTCGATGGCCCCTGATGGTCAGGTGGGTCCCTGCACAGAATGTTTCTGTCCCTGCCCCACCCGCCCTCGGCACATCAAAGCTCATCTGATCCCAGGGTGACAGCTGCTTATGAGGCCACCTTACCCTGGGACCAGGGCCCTTGCTGCCTGCTCTCTCGGGAAGAGAGGGCAACATGGGGCATCCCCACGTTTTCCGTGCTGCCCCACTGTGTGTTTCTTCTGCTCATTTCACTGCTTCCGCTGGCGTGTCCCGGTTGGGTCGAGGTGGCTCTTTCCCCCACGAAACAATGCCGCGTGCTGTTGTGGGATTAGCTCCTGTTTGGACCTTCTGTTGGGGGGGTCGATTCGATTCCTCCTCACGTCTCTTGAATCCTTCTTAAGGCTCTCCACACCTCGTTACTCGAGTTTAGGAGAGATTCAAATACCTGGTGCATTCTCCTTCCCAGTCGGTATTGGGCACGTATCTCTCCCCTGGTTCACTGTGTAGAATCCTGATGAGCCCTTTTGAAAACTCATCATTTGCTGTTCCTTTAGAGCAGCAATTTATTGAAAGTGACTATGTTAGAGATATTTTATTGTTCCGCACAGAGCTATGACACGCAAGGCACCGTGAAGACTAAAAAACACAAATGAGAGACATGTCTCTTTCTCCCTGTGTTTTAGCCCTGCCTGAATCCCGGAGGGAGCCAGTCATCCGACGTGGTGCTTTTGAACCACTGGAAAGTGAGGAATTTTGAAGTCCAGCGTGGTGACATTGTGTCATTGGTGTAAGTAGACCAGAAACATACTGTATTTGTACATAAATCATAAGGATGTGGCTTAACTGGCAATCTGCTGCTAATGCCATATTGTTAATTAGTAAATTGTAGGTGCATTGAGAATCGAATGTGTTTTCAAAAATCAATCTTGAAATGCAACGATGCTATAAAAAAGTTTTTCTTTTATATTTAAAATGTTTCTGTTGATTGACCTACTTGGATTTGGCAAAAAGTGTTTAATGAAATGTTGACTGGTAGTTATTATACTGATGATTAAAATACATGTATTCGATATTAGTTTTGATGATTTCCAAATTTTGCATCTTGGAAGCAATCTTTTATTCCCATGTTTTATTACTCTGTGTAGGTACAAGATATTTCTAGAGTATGACAAGTGTGATGTGAAATTCGATGACATATCAACTCGGTGACATACCCATCAGTACTTTAATGGACAGAAGGCAGTGTGGCAGGCTGTCCCACTGGAGACTTTTGTGTGAGACCAAAGGTGGCGCTGTTGCTCTGTAAAAGTAGGACAGCTGGCCAGACACGTGAATTTCATTCCAGTCTTAATGTAGAAAAGGACTGTCAAAAGTGTGTATAATTGACACAATGATATAATGCCTAGTCCGAGCATGTGCTTGCATGGTTAGATTTGAGATTTTTCTGTTTGTTTGTTTTCAAAGTAAATTCACACTGAGAGGACTACAACAGAACTTGCCTTATTTCTTCTGGTTTTAGCCTCTTGTAAAAATGTTTTCATGTGATTCCCTATTATTCCAGTTGGTGCACTAGGATAGCAATTAACCGAGCCGTTCTTGCCTGCATTTTGACAACAGTAAAAATCCCATCATTTGGGGGAACCTTCCATTTTATATTTCTGATTCTTGAACGGGAATGTCTGTTTCTTGGATGATATTTGTAATTGTTTGCTGGAAGCAAAGCATCATTTCCTCGTTTACACGTAACCTTTCACAGGTGCTTTGTGGAAACAGGTATCTTATAAGTGTGCCTCTGTGCAGCCTGCTCAGCCAGCCTTCCTTTGACAATCTGTGAACTAATCTGCTTAGTACCGAATGGAATAAATACATCGGAGTGGAGTTTTGTGTGGCGGACGTCCAAAAAGGGGGTGAAATGCTGCTCGTGCTCAGGAGCACTTTCTGTGCTGTTAGCCTGCCCTTCGGGGGGTACTTCCAGCTTGGCATCCACAGGGCTGCTCTCCCAGCCTCCGGGGCATCCTCTTCCACGCTGGGTTAGCCTGTCGTGCGCTCATTATTCTTTCATCTTTGGTTTGACAAGGGCACATCCTCGCTTAGTCGGTGATGGAGGTGGTGCCCGCCCAAGTGAAAGAGGTCACACTATACGCAGACAACTGCGCATTGTTTTTTCCCATTAGAAACACGCTGTCTCTCGGCTAGTGAATGTGAACAGGTAATTGGGGGGAAAAAGCTCCTTGAAATTCAGGGTTGCATGGTCCATAAAGGTACCCTAACCTCTCATATGCTACTTAGAAGACAAGGAGAGAGAGCAATGCTCTTTTATGTAAATATTAATTATAGTTACTTATTATCTTTATAATATAGTACATATAATACCATTTTTACTTATTATTTACATGAATTTAAAAAGGGTATATTTGAATTGATGTTGAGAGGACACATTGTAGCTCCTTTGAAGTGTATTTCTAAGGAGTTAGTCATGCACTTTATCTGTCTGGTACAGATAACAAGTTTTCTCTCACAATGCTCATTGATAGCAGGAGCTGCTGGATAAAAGAATGCTTGCCATTGGGCATTGTATTATTTAACAACAAATAGTTAAGTATTAATTGTTGCTTCCTCTGAGAAATAAGAAGTCATTCTAAATTCTATTTCAGTATGATGTCATACTATGAAAGATACTGTTTAAAGTGTATTTTTACTTTTATGAGCAAAAATGCTTTCTAGACACATCTTTATATTTTTATATATTTTATAGTCTGCCTCATTTGAAGAAAACGTTGGCTTGATGAATGCTCACAATATATGTTTAATGCACATAAAAAACACTGAATATTTGCTTTTCTTACAAAATGCATCAATCTGGTCTTAACTTAGACAATAATTGTCAGCATTACATTGGAGTATCCTGTTTAAGAACTGCATGACTCATCCAGAAATGCATGACTAAAATTTGAATTTATGGCTAAATATGAAATGTATAAAATGCAAATCAGTAATAAGCACACATTTCATTGGTATATTATTCATCTTTGGAAACAAGATATTATGACAATTTGTATTTTAAATAGTACTGGAACAGCATTTTGCATACTCTGCTCAGAGGGTATGGAGGTACAGCATTTCTACTGTATTACATATGCATTTCTCAAACACTTTCCAGTGCGCATATTCATATTTGAATCAGCAGGGCTTATGCAGCTTCATAAATGGAATAGTAATGAAAAGAATAACAATTTCATTAAAAATGCCAGCACTTTAAAAGACATGAACTTTCTAATAAGAAAACACTGCAGTAAATGTAGGATTTTACTTAAAACAAACATGGTGAGGGTGGCTTGGTGGAAGGCGATAGAAGCGAGGGTCGAGGCTGCTGATGTATGCAGACCAGTAGGGGCATCCCCTGGAGAAACTGCGAGGAGAGAAAAGTAGCAAGCTTTGTGCAAAGTGTCCTAATACTAGACATGTTTGCTCTGCTCTTTGCCATGTGTTCCTTTGTGTATGTGTGTGTGTTACAGGTATGTAAATGTGTCCAGATACATATATAATATGTACTTTAAGATCAGTGTTTGCCTTGCAAGAAGCACTTCTGAGGGGAGGGTTGAATGCATAATACAGATTCTTTCCTTCCCTAGTCTGCTAGCATTCTTAGACTTCAGGTGCTGTTATGAATGAAAGAGAAACATTAATGCTGTGGGGAAAAGAAATCACATGTGGACCAGTGCAGCCTCTGCCTCATACGGAAACCCTTTCTGCATTTATCAGTTGCCTATGAGCCTGATTCATTGTGAGCTACAGAAACAGAAGCTGGAGCAGAAGCACCCATTCTGCTTTTGTCCCAGGGGTTTTCTTCGGAACTCATCGGCTGCCTCTGTTTCTTAGAGTGGGCTGTCCGGGTGGAGGCGGGGGAGTGGGCTGCAATGAGCTTCTTTGCCCCTCTTCTTTATCTTTTCCTGTCACTGTCTTTCCGTAAAAAGTTGACCTCAGGGACCTGTTGTTTCAGCCTATTATTTAGTAATGCTAAGTCAAAAGGTACGTTTACTTAGTGTAGTAACAGGACTGGTTGGGAGAACATTGTTGGTTCTCAAGTGCTCAGTATTACTACTAAGTATGTAGGTGACATCGTACTGTCTTAGTGAATTTGCAAACCAGTAGTGGTGATTACCATGGATTCTCTGCGCCTTGGAATTGACTTTCTATCAGCCTGTGTCATGGCCGCACTGTCGCCCACTCAGCGTCGGTAGCGCTGTGTTCCAACAATGCATCAACGAGTGATCTACTGGGACAGTGTCCAATAATCACATTTACAAGTGCATTGACTATTGTGAAATATTAGGCTTGAGGAGAAGTTACAAAAACAGTATAGAGAGTTTCCATATGTCCCCCCTAATGTTTTTTGATGCTTCATTGGGGGAATGATTGACAAATAAAACGGTAAGACATTTGAAGTAAAACATCGTGAGGACAGGATATATGTGGACCCTGGGAAAGGATTTCCCCGTTGAGTAGCCAGTCATTCTCTCACATATGTGTGCTCTGGGGGAGGGGGAGGCTATCGAAGTTGTACTCTCAGTAGATTTCACCCGTCCCACACTGTGTCCTCAGCTGCAGTCTTCTCGGTGTCCAGTGGGTGCCCAGACTTCGGTTCGTCTTGTACCCGCTAAAACTACTCTTACACGCAACCGCAGGACAGTCACTGAACCCAGGAAACTGACATCGATGCAGTCCTGTTAACTAACCCATGGACCTTTTTTGAGTTTCACCACTGTTCCCAGTAATGTCCCTTTTCTAGACCAGATCCTTGGTTGCTCCTTGTCCGTTTGACCTTGACGCTTTAGAAAGGTCCGGCCAGTGACTGTGCAGAGTGACCCTCACCTGTTTAATTACCGAGGCTATCTTCCCTTGGAGAAGCACTGCTGTTGCCAGCACTTGCTGAGACGGCTGTGGTGGGTGGTGACAGTGGGGAGGGGACAGGGCCAGAGGAGAGGGAAATTCTCAGGTACAGGCCTTTTTAGTTTCTTGGGACCACATACCTGGGTCACATCTGAGAAGGTCCCTGGCTTCTGCAAGTTACACAGTCAAGTTCACAGCTGTTGCGAGTCAAGGAGGAGAGCTGTGCGGGTTGGGGGGCTGTGGCGTATGGCAGAGGGCGGGGGAGCTGAGGGCAGGTCACAGCTCCTACGGCTCGGAGACAGTGTCCTCCAAGTTCACAGGTGGGGTGGGGGGAATTCTCATTCATAAGCACCACTGCAGAGCAGGCCTCGTGCTAGGAGCTCCGTGATTTCTAATTCACGTGGCAATATCTGGAGATTGTTATTTTTAACCCGGTGAAACTGAGAGTTAGCAGTAGATGGTGAGGAAACAGAGCGAGAGTCTGAACCCAGGTCCGTCCGACCGTGAACCTGTTCTGTCTGCATTGTAGGCACTTGTGGCTGCTGAGCACTTGCAATGAGGCTTCTGACACGTGTTTTCTTTTCTCTCCTTCTCTTTTTAAATTTTTATTGAATTTATTGGGGTGACATTATTTAGTAAAATTATATAGGTTTCAAGCCACTTTTTAAAAATGATCACATTTTGGATATATTCAGTCAGGTATCTCATTGAAGTTACTTTCACCCCTTTCTTTTTCCTTTTGTGAGGTGGCCGGTAGAAAATTCGAAATTGCACGTGCCCCAGGCATGTCTGTTGGACACTCTGCGTCTCAGCTTTCTCCCGCCATCCTCTGCTGTGCTCCTGGAGCGCGTCTAACGTGGCCTGAGGTGTGACCCTCCGGTCCGGGCGTGACCACAC